AATTTACTTAACATGGGCCTGTGCTGTGAAATACCAACCCCACACTGGGAGTTCTGAGGCGCAGATTCAGAAGCAATTTACAACCTATGTACTTCAAGGATATTGGTTTAGTCAATCACTGGGTAGCAGCAATAAGGTCTTTTGCTTTAAATGCCTCCAGTTAAATTTGAACCTGTACACAAAAACAGCTGGACAAACACAAAAGGGTAGAGGAAGGGTACTTAGTCAAGACAGGCTGTGTACAGAAGGAACTTTACACAAGCACACATTATACTCAGTATGATGGCATTGAAGTGCAGAACTCCACGCTTAAGAAAACCAACTTGTCATTCTCTTCTAACCCACAGAAATTTAATTATGCCATAGATTTAAGCACCTTAAATGTGGCTTGAGACATACATTTAATGAGAAACAGCTTTCAGATGCAGAAACTATTATCCCCAGTAACGTATCTATTTAACAAGACCTAAAACACATAACCACAACCATGAATCTAACAAACCTAAAACCACATCCCTTGACACTTTTAAAAGAATATATTGGAAGCTAAAGCTATTCTGAGTTTGTAGCTGGAATAATTTACAGACAAAACCTGTCTTTCCTATCAGACATTGTATTTTTTCCACTAGAAGGTTCAATACTTCTTCTATCAGGACAGAGTCAGATTTATTACTCATTGGGGATGAGTTGCAAACATATAACCAAGTTTTCCAACAGCACTTTGATAGATGCTGAAGTTCTGTGAAAGATCTCAACTACCTTCTTTTAAGCAAGGCAGATTTACAACTTGCAGTAACAGAATTGCTAGTCTTACCACCACCCCTCTTGAAGAAAGAAATTTCATTAGTTGAGAACATACAAGAAATAGAAAGCTTCCAGTTCTGTATTCAATGCTTTTTGGGAGGGGGGGGGGGTAAGCACAAAGCCACAAACAGAAGAAAAAAAGCATTTACTGCTTAGAAGGGAAACAACAGCAGAATGTGTCACAGCACTTCTAGTTGAAGTGATTAGAAACAGCAAAGCAAGTGTTCTCTTGTGGCAGCAGTGGTAACAATGGCTTGCTAGGTTACAACAGTAAACAGTCCAAGGTAAATAGCCATAGAATACAAAAAAAAATAGCAATATAGAGAAGGCTTTTATCTCCCTGAGATGCCACTAAGGCATTAACACAGCTATGTGAATCTGATGCCCACTATGACTTGCACAAAATTTGGACAGTCTTCATCTACAGGATTACCTATACACCGATCAACCAACCCCCGTCCATCTTGAAGATCAGATTTTCTGTTACAGCATTTGCCAGATTTCCACACTTACTTCAATAGGAATACAGCAATCCCCATCGACAGAGGTTCTGACCATTAAGTAGTAGCCATTCCAGCCAACTCTTCCATTCCCAATCATAATGCAATTACAGGATTCTGCAGCAACTTGAGCCCTCTCATGGGGCTTGCTGGAGCTTGGATTCTGCACAATGGACCCACTAGTAAGGCAACCATAGAGAGGTGGAGAAAGAGCATGAGATTGCTTTGCCCCAATGCAAACAGGCCATTTGCAAAGACATTACAGATCTGTGAATTGCTTAGCTCCAAGTGTGAGCAGAGCACACTCAGGTCTGACTAATTCTTTCTGTATAGACATGCCACTATATCTTTTAATTTCCTAGGCTGTATACATAAGCCACCACAGAATTCCAGGAGTATGGCTTCAATAATTCCTCTTGACAATGTGGGCAACACCTAACATTCAGCCTAGAAGCATAATGACAACTACTAAATCTAGGATGGGCAATACTGCTTAAGAACTAGATAGATAAAACAATTAATTAAGACTTTAAAATTGCTGTAGCATGTGAAGAGGAAGTGTTCTGCCCTCTGACATTATTCCCTTAACTGAAATATAAACCATTTAAAATTGAAAGCATTTATATTTTCAAATAGATACAAAATTCAGTAATAAAGAACCTACATATAATGTTCACATACATGTGAAAAATTGTAGCTTTCTAGATAAATAACATTTGCTACTCCCTTCACAACTACCAAAACCTTTATTTAACCTAATGGGAATATAAACTTGGAGGAGTATGATATAGTTAGCATGTAAACATTTCCCAGAGGTAAGAACTAATAATCTTAGAAACCCATGCACTTACACAGCATCTTGTCCATCATGAGAAGTAATTCCTTTAGTGTATCTCTTTCTAACAAAAGGTGTAGGAACAAAATCAAAGTCAACCAAGTTATAACTCACCAAATTACCATTCTTCACGTGGTAGACTGGTGGTTAGCTGATTTCAATTTGTAATTTTCTATTACCCTAAAAATGCACATTCATGCATTCACACAATGAATTTAGCAGAGTTGACAGATAGAGAACCAACCTAGAACTGATGATTGAAGAACCAAATGCCCTTGATATCAGTGCAGGATTAAATCTTCCTGTTAAAAAGTTTGTATTGTGTTTCCAAGGTGGCTTCATGAACTCTTCAGTGAAAACACTATGTAAAGCATTTCCTGTTAACTCCCCCCTCATTCACACTCCCCAATCAATCCCATTAATTATACCGCTACAGCTGTTCATTTCATTGTGGAACAAATTGATATGGATTAAGAGCAGTGCTGTAAATGAAGGCTGGGTTGGGTTTTTTCCTTTTAATCAGAATGATTTCCCCAATTCATATTGCCACAAGTGAGAAAGCTGAGTGGGCCAGAAAAAGAAACCTAGGGAAGGGAAAAACAGCATGGCAGGGGCTAAACTTGCACTCTGCTTGTGTACCTATGCTTTTAGTGAATGTGTACCACTTCCTCAAACCATGAAACAGATCACTGCAACTGAGAGATTAGATATTTTTTGCATTGTCCTTTGCAAACAAGATTTATTTGGTTGTATTCAATTTGTATCAATTAGGATTTAGAAAAGGACAGATCCTCAGTAGGAACATAACTAATTGTAATCAGCTTTTGTCTGGCATCTCTGAAATTAGTGATTTACAGCAAGTGAGAATCTTCTCTGAGAAGACAGACTGTATTGACACTAAGAGACACAAAAGACCATTATCAAATGATCACAGAGTTTATATTAGTAAAGAGGAAGATGTCTGCTTTCTTGACTTCTTTATACATTTAATTAAGCTTTAGTTATTACTACAGGATTTGTTCAGGGAAAATTTGCAGATCACTTTCTAATTTTGGTGTGATAGGTAATTCATTAACAAATAAGGTATTGCAGACTGGATGGAAACTGGAACAGATGGCCAGTCTGCAGGACCACAGGAAGGTACGAGACACTTAAAGGGCTCATTTGTAAAAACCATTTTGAAAAGTATCTTATCTGCAGGACAACTAATAAGCCAGTGAGAATTTCTTTTCATGATAAAATGCTTTTAACTGTATGTCCTTGCCTAGTTTTCTTTTGTGGAGGGTTTCTATAAAAGTCAGACTGACCATAATAGAACAGTCATAACAAAGCAAGACTGGCTGTTCTGGGCAGATGATAGTAAATACAGCACTACTGTGAGTCATTTTCCCCAGAAGTGCTATGTGAAGCTCAACAAAGTTATTTCTCTGTCATTGTTCTGGTGAAGAGGCACACACCGCTAACTTGTGAACTCAGGAACAGGACAGTGAGCAGGAAAACTCTATTCATAGAATCTTTTATTATCATGACGAACTAGGGAACACATTCAAATTGAGTTAGCATGGATGCCTGTTAAAAATATTAGCATTTTCTCTGTAACATGACAATACCTGATCTGAGATCACTGCCAGAAAATAAGATCTGGAGCCTCATTATGACGTCTTTATAGTCCCTTTCCACAATAGAGATATCTCTTACATAAGTTTAAAAAAATGTGACCATGCAACAGGCAGGAACCAGGACTGCATATACTGGGGTAGAGGTATGAATTTTGAAAAACCACAGTGGTATTTTAAAGAAAAGTGGAGTTACTCATGGTTTAACAAAACTTGCACTGCTAGCTTTCTTGGACCACAAATTAATTAATAAGTATATATGCAGCTCACTGGGTAAGACCTAATTCAGAGAAAAGCAATTAAGATTGGCACCCTGAAACACTCAGGAACAGGTACTCATTAGCCAAGAAACACTCTAGCAATGTCTCCGCTATGAAGAATTACCAGAGGACCATCTTGCACCCCAAGCTTATCAGTTTGAGGGCTGACATAAAACACCTAAACTTTTCCAAAAATAGGCTTCTCAACCTTTCTTTCAAATTGTGGAATGGCTCAGCTATTTCTAAATGCCACTAATCAAATCCGGTGAAACTTCCAAAAAGCCATTGTGACAGTAACCTTCACCATCACTTCCTGAGTGTGTTTTGCTTTTCTTTTTTCTTAACAAGGCTTGATCTCACTGTCTGGCTGAACATTAATCCGCTTTCACCAAGTACCAGACTAATCCTTGTTACATTAATACACTGCAAATCCTCAAGGTATAAGTTACACACGATTTAGTATAAAAGGTAAGCATAGGGCTTTCTTTTCACTACATCTATTACCAGGAAGACAAGTAGAATACAGGTACGTTTTCATCAGATCCTGATCCTGAAATCTTTTTTCAAATTGCAAACACTCCATGTGACTAATTGCTTCTGAAAAATAGACTATCCTTTGCTCTTTCTCTCCCTTGCTTCTTTTTCTTTCTCCCTAAAGACAGGACACATTCTCTGTACAGAAACCTAGATAAAAATATTTCATTGAAAGTGGTGTGGTACTCTGCTATTATTATTCTGTAAAGATTGTTGATGTGCCATTTCAGTCACACAGGAAAATCAAACTCCTTTAACAATAAACATACAGACAGGTCTATTTAATGGCTTTATCCTATGTTCTCACTGATGTTTCTGAAAGCTTGCTATTATAGTACCACTTGAGGATAATGTGAAGACTCAATTTCACCTTGTTTCTATAAGTATTTCCTGTTAAAAATAAGTATACATGTTTCTTCAGTAGAGATATATTTTTTGCTTTATACACAGGATGAAGACAGTTAATTGTTACATGCTGTTATTTTGCTGGAAAGCAATTTGTTGCAATAGCTGTCAGCTCACCAATATTACTATAGCAGTGGAAAGAGAAGAATGTGAATTCTGTATTACAGTGAATGCCACGTGGTGCTCAGGATACTGCTTCACAAGGGTGAGAATTTAAGTTTAATTTCAGGCCCTGGAATTCAATATTCCAAGTGATATGAATAACCCATTTCTCCAGTCCGTAATGAACACATAGGCAGGATGAGCCTTGTGAAAGAACAGACTGAGTAATTGCTGTGCTTTTCGACAGGAAAGTAGATGCACAGCCAATCTGAACCACAAAGGGAAGGATTAAAAGATGCTAGCGAAATTCATATCTTTAACTGGCTGCACACTTTATGTTTATACGGTATAATTAGAGTTGAAAGTATTACAATCTCTACCTTGTGTTCAATTTGTGGTTGCAAACAGACAAAATAAAGCATCCATTAATATGTAGACTCATCTACTTTTCCAAGTCGTTTAAAGAATCAAGTATTTGACCTGCAAGATTGTCTGGTGATGGTATGACACAAATTTGCCATATTGGTCCTCCTGAAAGGAGAAATCTTAGGATCTATGTGAAATTAGAAGAGTCTGATCCAAATCTTTTTTATCTCAGTGGGATTTTCCCCACCAGTTTAATTAGTTTTCAAATCAGTCCTTTATTTTATAAAATAAATTGAATTCTACCCCATAACAAATTTCAAAGTATTTCCTTCTTGTAATTTTCAGGATCCAGTATATAAATATCCACCAGTATCATCCGTTCAGCAAACATGTACCTTCAAGGAGGTTGTGTATGAAACAGTGAAGATCCCTGGCTGTGGTGACCATCCTGAATCTTTTTATTCATACCCAGTAGCTACAGAGTGCCACTGTGAGACCTGTGACACTGACAGCACTGACTGCACTGTGAGGGGGCTTGGGCCATCCTACTGTTCCTTCAGCCAGAATGGAAGCAACCAATGAAGGGCACTTGAGATCACAGTTTGGCTTTAAATGTTGACTTCTAAATAAAGGTACTGATTTGGCTTAAGTGGAAGATAAAAGGCAAGGCTATTTAGAAACTGACAAGACTGAAACAAAGATTTTTAAGGCCAAAATAGAGAGCTACTGACTGAACTTCTCTTTATGGCTTCCTTACTTATCCCATCAGTTTCCTTAAAATCATTTTCATAGGTCTATAGAACGCTGCTTCCAATTCCTTCTGCCCTTGCCTCCTCTTCTGTTTCGCTTTCATTCTTTATATGCCTGTATTTCCACTGCCTAGTTTACTTAGCTTATTCTGTAGTATCCTATGCTTTCAAAAAGTTCCCAACTTCCAAGTCTTTATTATCCCCTGCTTTCAATCTCTCCTCAGAACTCACTTGTTTCAAAAAGCCTCGCAGCATTGGTTTTCTTACAACCAACATCTGTGCCTTCACTTTCTATTAGTTGGACTGCAAATCTCTCTCAGCAGAAGTCCTGTCTTTTTTTTTTGGCAAATTACTTCATATAGTCATTATGCTCTGTAAATAATAACAGCATGTTTATTTAAGAGCCAAAATCTATGTTCAAATTTTGAATGTCATCTGAACTCTTGTGCTTTCTCAGTAAGGCTTGTTATCTTAGGCTCAGTGCCGCAGTAACACAAATAACATGAACTCTAGTTCATACATGGCTAACTTGAAAAAAGAATCATCAGCTGTCCACTTGCACCTGAGTAAACATATCTTAAGTCAGTTAAACAATTTTTTAAATTTTGCCACATATCCCAAACACTGGATTTCCTCTCATGCAACAGAGCGTAATAATAAGAATTTTTTAAACACTACTTAACAGAGGAATCTCACAAATTATTTAGGGATTAATCTAGAGGCACCTGATCTCAGTCATGCAAATACGGTGTGACAACATGCCTTGAAAGTAGTTCACAGTAGTCCCTTCTAAGAATGGAAGTTCACAGAGTTCTGCAGCAACCTGATGCTGCAATGGCCAAGATGAAGTTGGGATGGTCTGGAAGTGAGCTAGAGGACTGACTGAATCAGAATGGAAAATTATCTCATGTTATTGGGAAAATTACCTGAAACCTACAGAATTAAATCCTATCAGGAAAATGAATATACTGCTCATCATCAGAAACAATCACCTACACAAACGCAGAATGGAGAGCAACTGGTTCAG